GCACTGACGTAAATCTTAAAAACAATCACACTACCATCTTTAACAAGAGTGTCTGACGGCGAAAATGCAAATGTATGTGTGTGTGTGTGTGTGAGTGAGACACAAAACAGAGACAGAGACTGTCCAACTAATCAAGAATACACACATACACCACACATACACACACACACACACACACACACACATAAGAAAATTAATTTTATTATAATTACTTTATTTGTTAATTTGCACATTTGTTCCATATAATCCTGTAATGAGCATTAACAAGGTGTCAGTCTGATATGCTTTCATAACCTCCTTAATAGTTTTGTTAAACTGTCGTTTTCAGATGATATGTAATTAAATTAAATTAAAAGGTGAAACTGAAGTCACATTTGTAATAATGGAACTGGAATTCAAACAAATTTTTCAACACATTTAAAACAAGTCAGAAAAGTGATGTGTGAAAACACTCAATGAAAATCTAATTACATTTATAAGTAACACACACTAAGTGACGATGGTCTGATGTGTGAACTAAATTATTTTGTTGGACTTTCACTGTGTTTTCAGCTGCAGGTAAATGCAGCAGGAAGTAAAACAGTGTTAAAGGCTGAGTTAAACATCACACTGTCGTTACCTCCGGTGCCTTCATGGACCGGTGTTTGTGTAAATCTAGACCTGATAGAAAAAGCAAAACCTATTCCTATTCCCATTTTCTTACTAATTTATATTAAAAATATTTTTTTTAAATATTGAAAGCTCGTTTTTGTCATGTTAAACATTTTATACATGAGTTTATACATTGTTTTTGTCTGCATACTTTAGAATTAAATGTTTATATGGTAAAAACCTAACCTGAAATACAAATGATAAACATATTACATATTAGTATTTCCATAACCTGTGTGTATATGTAAACGGTAATTAAGTAAGTTCCTTTTTGATATGCCTGGTTGCTATAGAGACGGTCATGTAACAGCGAAGTGTGAGGCTAAAGATAAGCAAGCTTCAGAAGTCAGGGTCATGTGTTCTAAATATTATTTACTGGTTATTATTTCCAAACAGTTCATGTGTTTTTTAAATGGAAAAATGATGGAAAAATAACATTTCATATTTGTGTTGCTAATGTGTGCTGGATGCTAACCCTAAGGCATGCTAACATATCATGGTATGGTTTTTTTTTTAGGATGTGTGACAAAAGCTCATTTCCACTTTAAATGTTTTTTTTACTGAAACAGATGTCCAGAGTGTTAAAGTTAATATTCCACCCTGGAATCAGTCATCTGACAATGAATAAATTAATTAACAGAACACAAAAACACCAGCTTTTTCAGAGAGAGGTGAAAAAAAAAGCTAAATTTTTTGTGGCAAACCTATGTAGACTTCTTGGGTTTTAATTTGAAAACATTTGAATTTCATGTGTTGAGCTAGAATACTCTAGTCAAGTGTAACTATCAGGGTGGTTTGGCCTTTAGAGAATGATTTAGTGTCATTTACATTTTGAATTCAGATTTTTTCAGTCACAAAGAGTAAATTCAACATTGTTCAGAAATGCTGTTGGTCGTCTGTATATAATGTAGATAGAATGTTTTTTTCAAGAGGGAAAATGTGCACAAGAAATCTAGATGAAATTTTGGCAAACTGAGACCTCATATGTTCAGTTTCAGGCTGTGTTCCCTTAAAACAATAGAAATCTAGTTTGACCCCCCCAAAAAAAAAAAAAAAAAAAAATCCCTAGGTCCCTTTATGAGCTTTTACCAAAGATTTCAACCACACCTCATTCATATGTACGTAACATGTGTAGAACATGTACCAGATGTTACATAAACATGTAAAATAAATGCATTTTCTTCTGAGGAAATTACTTAAAAATACCTTGAAAAACAGTGTCTCATGTGGTGTAGATGATGATTCCTATTGTTGGAATAAAATGACCAAACTCACATTGAAGTATGTCAGAGCAGCGATGACCAGCACGTGTTTTTACACAAAATAAAGGATAAGAATGTCAAAACTTCTTTGACTTTTCAGATTGAAAAGAACCTGAGTTTAAGTTTATTCCTCAAACACCTATTTACTAATTATACATGATATGAAATTCACTAAAATTAAACTAAAATGATCCTGTTTGAAAATACACTTCCTGTGTGTGTCTATGCATTTTTTATTTATTTTAGAAGCAATCAAACATACGCAGTTACACACACACACATTTGATAAGAGCTTTAAAAAAAAAAAAAATCAGCTGTCATGAGGAGGCTGTGGTAAAATCTTATAAAAGATGAAATGTTCTGGTATTTCACCGCGTTCACACGAACGCGTCGCTGTGTTAGGAGTTTTTTTTGTCAGTGAATGCCACACCCAAGGGCCCTCGCACACACACCGAACGGACACTATACACTCCTCTGCTTCGATGGCCGACTCACACACACAGACTCAGGGTCAGCGCCCGACGCTGCTACATGAAACAGGAGGAGCGGCTCGCTGTGAGATGATACTGCTTGTATCCTCACATTATCCTCTGCAGAGAGAAACCGCAGCCCCGGCTAACACGGCTGGCGCCTCGCAGGCTCCTGGAGACGGGGAAGGATGACCAAGCATTCAGCAAGAGCAGCAGATTGAATTACCGCTGATCAAATTAAACAAAAAACAAATTGAACTGGGGACGTGGAGTTTTTTTTTTGCGAAACGCCTGCTTCGATGTAGAATTACACTTCGCTAAATTTACCTGCAGCTTTTCCACCAACTTTGTTTTCTTCCAGACATCAGAATGAGATGAACTAATGAGAGATATTCTAATTTTTACAGTGGGTGTTTGTATGTGTTGATAATGATTCACAGCTGTGGGGGTTTTGTTGCGTTACATGGTAGCACACAGTAACTGCTTTGTGTGCTTAGATATTCAAATTATTGCCTGCTTGCTGGCATGTGAGAACGCTTAGGCCTGTGGGCCAAACAGAAGTCCAAATACATAAACTAATACGATATCAGTGTCAATGCCTTGGGCAATTATTAGCACATAAAAGAAGCTGTTAGATGAAGGGGTGGTGGGGGTGGTGGTGGACTGATCTCCTCTACGATAAAGGTTGGAGAGAAAACAAGAGGAGAGAGGAAATATGTATGAGTGTCCAGAAATATCACCCCAGATAGAGCGGACCTAAGGGGGGGGGGGGGGGGGGTGAGTACCTGCTCTCTCCCGGCCTACTAATGAGACACACACACACACACACACACACCTCCTCCCGTCTGCGCCGTTTAATGCAAATAAGCACAACTATGAAATTTTCGACACCATCCACCGTCATATTTCAATATTTTTGTGAGAAAATCTGCAGCCTGTTTCCTCTGGACAGGAAGCTCACAACCCCACGTTCTCCATGAGAGGGTCAAAAGCGCCTTTCTGTTTCAGTGTGAATTCAGCTGTTTAAAGACATTACAGCGCTGCAGCCTTGAATGCGAGCATGATTTAGTTTGGTTATGGATTAATTAGCGAAACACACGTTAATACTTTGTCAATAACAGTGGCGGAAAAGCTTTTTGTTCGAGCTACAAATCTCAGACAAAGTGAGAAAAAAAAAATCACTGACCCCACCTCTTCAGGACTATGCATTTACAGCAGCAGTATGGCTTTGTCTTATGATGCTGAATTCCTTTTTCGTCCTGTGCAGCCTTCACAAAAAGAGAAAGTGACTTAATTCCACAGAGGAAAAAAAAAAAAAAAAAAAAAAAAGGAGCATAATGATCTCTTCAGACCAGGTGAGCCCCGTCCACAGGGGTCCCCATCAGCTCAGCTCCACCACTGCCACATCCACAATCTCCATGACAACCACTTAACATGATGACCCCCTCACCATGACGACCTCTGTCACCCAGCTGTCCTCCTGGGGCCTGTAATGGAACTAATATGGCTGCTATGGAGCAACCTGTGAGACTGCGCCCACCACCGCCACCGCCGCCACCTCCTCCCCCTCCTCCCCCTCCTCATCCTCTCTTCTTCTCCCCTTTAATTCCTCTACCCTCGGGGGGGGGGGGGGGGGGGGGGGTTAAAGCAACTAAATCTGGTGGAAGTTTCTCTCATCCAGACAATAAAAGCCACTCTATCCTGATGGCTCCAGCGGGTTAAGAAACCCTTCACCTCCCAGCACAGGAATCAATTGGATCTACAGAGCTGCTAACCAACAACCTAACAGCTGCCTGCGACTGTGGCCTCTGTCTCTCTCTCTGTCTCTGTCTCTCTCTCTCTCGTAGCCTGGAGGAAATTCATCTCCTCTGGCCTCCTGCTGGAAAGTTCCTTGAATGGCTGCTCTAACCCAGTTTAGGGCCCAATTGCTTGGTTATTTTGGAATTGAGCTGTTTGTGCTGAAAATGAGAGGACGATTGTGTGCTGCAGGAATGTGCAAGCAGAAGTACAACCCAAACACACACACACACACACACACACACAGCAGCAGCTTCTTAAAGCATCTCTTTGTCTCTGGGGGTTGCATAATGATTCCATGACAGCCTGTCAGACATCATATGAAATTGATTCCACAAAGCCAAGGCGGCTCTCTCTGCGCCATTATCTGTAACCGCTGACGACTCCGCTCTTCATCAGCCTCTCTTATCTCTTATTATGTTATAAAAAATGGCCCGGCCCGAACTGCGCTCGGCGGACAAAGAGGAAGAGGGTGTAAAAGCGCAGGAAACACTGTGAGGTCCAGTTTGGAAGTCTTAAAGTCTAGTTAAGGAGGTGACATCTTCCTTTAAAAGTGCCACGGAGCTTTTCACCTGCACCACTAACCGGGACAGTGTTTACTAGAAATACATGTTTTCTACTTTATCCAAAGACTGTCGGTTCAAGTGTCTGCTCTGTGTGATACTCGGCCTGCAGGCCTCACAGAGAGGGCTGTGTTAGACATACATTAAGATGCTGTGGTGTGTAAATGCATGAATGAGTGTGTGTGTGTATTGGATGCACATGCATGTGTGGCACGCTGGTGTGTGTGTGTGTGTGTGTGTGTGCGTGTGTGAGTTACCCCCGGCTGTCCCTGAGGGCTGAACATGCTCTGACAGCGCTGATGCTTCTCAGTGTCCCACTCCTCTTTCAGCTTTCATCTACAGTCTGTTCGCTATCACTCAAAACTCCCTCCTCTCCTCCGCTGACTCACTCTCTCCTTCTTTTCTACCGCTTCTGTCTCTCCGTGTCATCTCCATCCTTCCTGTCTCGCTCTCTTCCTCCCTATTCTGTCACCTTTGTCCCTCTTTCTTTCTTCTTTCCCTCACTCCCCTTGCTCTGCTTCTTTTCCTCACTTTTTCTCCTCCACTCATCTCTCTCCCTCCCTCCCTCTCTCATCTTTTTCTTCTCCTCCTCTCTGTCACCCTCACCAGCGCTCCAGGAGCTTGGTATCGCTGTCTCTCAGCTGGCACAGAGAACAGGCAGACACATGGGAGGGCTGTTTTGTAATCCAGCAGGTCATACCACCCTAGCACAGGAATGGGGGGGTGCTGATGGGAGAGAGGGAGGGGAGGGGGAGGGAGGAGTGAGCAGACCTATACTGCTACCTTCCAACCTATACCTTTCTTGCATCCCTCCGTCTGCGAGCCGATGGTCTCTCCCTTTTTTCCCACCGACAACGGGAGGTCTAGCCTCGCTACATCCTCTCTGCGCGTTGAGGTTTTAGGAATGAGCAGAGAGAGGGAGGGAGGAAGGAAACAAGGAAGGGAGGAAAGAAGAGAGAAAATGGAAATGGGAGGAAGTGTGTAAATGAAAGGGTGGATGAGAGAGGAGAGGAGAGGGATGGGAATGAAAGGAAAGATGAAAAGATCGGCTGGGGGGAGGGATCCCCCGAAGGGTTGTAGACTGAATCAATGAAGCCTCTTAGCTCAGGAAATATTTTTAAGTATAGGAATCAAATGTATGATAAAAAAAAAAACCAACAAAGAGCCTGGTCATGAATTTGTGATGCTCTACACTTTAGGTTACAACCCAGCCACACAGCTGGCGCCACTGACTGTGTGTCAGTGTGTTTAAAACAGACAGGCTGGCAGGGAAGAAAGATGGAGGTTAGGTGGAAGGGTGATTGACCGCTTGTCTGCCTCACTGTGACCTGTCATCTCCCCCCACAGTTCATCCATTCATCCTCACTCTCACCTTCACCACCTCAGGAAGATCTTCATCAGTCACACTGTTGGAGCTACGCATTAAATGAATTGACCGTGTTTATGTTCACTAAATGATTCCGATTTATTTGTTCTAGGTGAATCATAAATTCATTTATGTCGGTCCAGTGGGAACGAGCTTCTCCAGCTATTGCACATGATAGTAAAGGTAAGAATCTACTGTATATCCACATGAGTTAATTAGCTCAGTAGGATCAGTGATAAACAGCTGCTAGTTTTCTGTAAATCATGAGTCACACTCATTCATTTCAGCTCAACTTTGCTCTGGATAGTATTCATTCATTTACACTGCAGGTACATTATCTCTCTAAACAGCTTTTTTTCCCTGTGGTGGGCCGATCACCTGTGTGATGATGGTGCACCTCATTACTTGTGTCCAACTGTCAACGCTCAGTGTTGGCGTGGAAAGCAGTGCGTCCTTTCTGTAGCCGGGGATGTGAATGGTGGTGGATGGACCTGTGGCGATTAGAGAGGCCGGGTGCTGGACCGCCCTATCAGAGGCTCTACTGAGTGATGCTGGTCCGGGTCGGATGGGCGACATTGGGCGAGGGCGGGTGACTGAGCTCTGCCTATATATTACAATAGGCTGCTTCTAAATGCTGGAGACGGATATGCTAATGTGGCTACGTCAATGTGTGTGCATGTGTGTGTGTGTGTATTTGTGTTTGGAAGAGTGTGATTGAATGAATAACCAGTGAACCATGAAGGAAGGTGAGCCAGAGGTGTGTGTGTGTGTGTGTGTGTGTGTGTGTGTGTAGGAAGTCTTGAGCAGCACTCTTCAGCTGGTGTGAACTGTATGGTTTCATCTCTGAATGAAAAGCACAAAAAAGCTGTTTCTATTGCTAATCCCTCATTATTACTGATGTGTGTTCAACGTAAATAATTTCATCATAATTCTGATATTCCTCAGTTTCTTTCGCTGTTAGATGGTAAGAAATCCATTCAAAAAAGAAGAACCATATACCAACCATTACCGTTTCAAGAGTGAAAAATGAAAGCATCTATGCAGGAACCACGGAAGGATGTAGAATAAAGTACACAAGCAAACAGTCTTTGGTGTAAAGACGGCTTCTTTTGTGGTGGATGAAAGATTTGAGCAGGAGAAGAAGATGAAGCAGCTCACAGGGTCCACAGCTCCGTCCTCCATTTACATCTTAAATGAAAGAAGCAGGCCTCCAGTTTGAATGGATTTCAGTGAAGTGAAGGTGAAGTTTTTTCTTTTCTAATATGCTGCGCTGGAGTTCATACCCCTGATACGTGTCACTCATCAGACCTGCAGCGTGTGCCACATATGGAAAGAGGCAAATTCACAGCTGTTGTTGAAGAGTGTGAGCTGTGCGATAGAGATGAGGTATTGATTCCCATCTCAGCAGGGGCTGTCACAATGTGGACTGTGAAATTAGCACCTCCATGTTTAACTGAACCTTCAGCTCTGATACATTTAAACAAATGAATTCCTCTTTATTCCCACGAAGTGAGATTCAGAATATTTAAGTGCAATACTGTGTTCAAAACTAAACAAAGTCTTTGTTATTGCTCAGGTAAGCCATGAACCAGCCTGTAGTTATGCTGCTATAGATTAGAGGCTGCTGGGGGAACTCCCATGATGCACTGAGCATTTCTTCTCTCTCCATGCATTCATATCACACTGACACTACTCCACACTAATCATCAATCCCTTTTGTTATTGTTATTGTTAGTAGTAGTAGTGGTAGTAGTTGGTGCTGCTATCATTGTCCTTGTTATTATTAATAACACTTATTATTATCATTATTATTGTTATTATTATTACCAGTGTGAGGCTTTGTCCACATTAATACATTTTAGTTTTAAAAGTCATCTCTTCTTCTTCGTTTCCTCCTGGTGTCCACACACAAGAGACGTTCAGACAATCTGCTGGACCTGTTTTATTTTAGAAAACTCTGGGGTTGTGTTGTAGTCTGGACAGGAACTATGACCTTTGGAAACGGTGACACAGAGAACACACGGTCGCTCCCTGAATGGGTCTTATCTGCCTCGACTGCCAGCGCTGAAGCAACATGATAATGAATCACAGGTGTTACGGACCTTCTTGACTTTGCCAGCAGCTGTGCTTCAGTTAAATTCTACATTCGACTGTCTTTACTGCTGCTCGTTCAGAGTTTTGACTGCGACTAACCAACAGCAGAGTAGACTGAGGTTTACACCGGTACGCACACGCCCAATGTACGTGAACGGTCATGTGATGTGTGTTTTCTGGTGCGTTATTCTGGATGGGAGTTATTTCTGTTACAGAGCTGAGATGTTTGCCTGGACAGAGATGGATTAAGGTTTAAAACACTGATGAAAATGAAAACATATTAGTGTGGACGTAGCCTGACAGAGACAGTATATACAGCTGTTCCTGGTGTCTCTCTCTCTCTGTCTCTCTCTCTCTCGTCTTTCCCCTCTTTCTCCTCTCAACCCAGCCGAGCCCCCTCCACCCTGATTCTGGTTCTGTTGGAGGTTTTTCCTCTCCACTGGCGCCAAGTGCTGCTCATTGTGGAACTCTTGAGTTTCTCTCTATAATATTGTCTCAACCTGACCCTGTAAAGAGCCTTGAGATAATGTATGTTGTGATTTATAATATTCCATTCTCACTAAAATGTAATGTACTGAGAGACATTAGTCTCAAAAGTCATGACTGTCTGTGGATTATTTATGTTCACAAATGCATCCTATAACCCATCATGAATAAATGTCAATACTCCATATACAATCTCCAAGTTCATCAATATCATCATATTTGCTAATACTTCCTGTGGATATGTATATGTATGTGTGTGTGTGTGTGTGTGTGTGTGTGTGTGTGTGTGTGTGTGCGCGCACAGATCACCTGACACATGTGGACTGGGTTACATTTGTGTGTAATGTTTTCAGAGTCAAGACATTGTTTGATCCAATAATGTTGCATTCAAGTGCAGGAGGAAAACTCAGATGTCTTACCCTTACCTATGTTTTCCTCCTAAATATCTCATGGATTTTACAAATGTCACTACATTCTCATTAGAAGCCAGTATTTATACTGCACATGTTACAGATTCATGTCACTCTTTTTATTTCAAAAGTAGAAAAACGTGCATCAGAGCTTCATATTTTATCAAAACATCATTACTGATGTGTTCCGTCCTATTCTTTTCTATTTTCATTATTGATTCATCTACAGATTGTTTTTCAATTCTTTATCTCATAGTCAAATATCAGTGCCCACCTCTATTTCCCACAGACCAGGATGACACCTTTAAATTATTATTGTTATTACTAATAAATTAAACTTGTTTTGTCTGACCAACTGTCCAAAACAATATATTCAATATAAATTAAATTTACAATGAGGGAAAAATAAAACCTGCAAATCTTCACATCTGAGAAGCTCCAGCCAGTGAATGTTCTTTCTGTATACATGACATTAATGATTAACTATCTAAACTGTTCACTCAATCATCAAACTGATTAATGGTTTCAGCTCTATAAATATTCATGCTTACATGTAAAAGCACTCAGATGCAAACTATACAAACAGAAACCTGCAAACCTTTGTCTCATTTTTTAAAATCAAAACGAGAAGCAGAGCTTCACTCACCACACATGAAAACACATACAGCAGATTCCCGCAGCTTCCAGCACCATACGGTGAAGCTAATGGGTACTGGGGCTCGTATCGACGGGCTGCGTGATTGACAGATGCACAAAGAAGCCCTGCAGTCAAGGCTGAGCCGGCTGCAGCCATATTCCATGCGGTGCCATTTACGTGCCGCCATGTGTAGTAACAGGCAGCTTGGAAACCCTTTTTTTTTTTGCCACTGCTCTTGTGTAACAAATTGTGTCATTAACCTGTTTAAGCTTGGTAATCGTGGTAAGGTAAGCGGCTCTCTTCGGTGGAGATGACACTGTTGGACGTCGTTCAAAAATGTGAAGTGTTTCCTAAAGCCTT